TTAATGAACAAGATTTAGGGGGAATTTTACAATGCTATTGCACTTCCGTAGTCATGAACATCAGCAGATATCAAGATATCCCAGATGGAACAACACCCTGCTAGTCTTACCTTGGAGAACGCATCTGATGCAGAAACATTTTTGTGTAACTGATTGCTATGAACCAATTATGTTCAATTTTGATTTTAATCTTGCAGTTTCTATAAAACATATACAGTCACGAGAAGTCAAGAGAATTTGGCCTTTTCTGGCTTGTAAACCAGTCATAGACATGTTTCAATAAACCTTATCTGATTTGAACCTACTCATAGATATTGCTGGAATTGGTTCTTCATCGATACCTAAACAATGGAGAGGTGTGGGAGGACAGTGAAGCTGCTTCTGATGGCTTGTAACAGAGGAACATTAGCAACTGGGACAGATTTTCTAACCTAGGCTCAAGTCACATACCATTATCAGACTTTAGTAATGATGGGTGCTACAATGACAAAATGTCTGGAACCATTCAAGAACAAGCAGACCTTACTGACCAGAGAATAAATAAATGTCTGCACAACTCCATAGTGATGCTCTGTGCAATGATCCCCCAATGAGTACTTATGGAATACAGTAATAAATGTGCGTCAAGAAAGGACACATAGGACTTCAAAGGGAAAGGGAAAGGGTTTCCTGTGATCCAAATGTGGCATGACGATATGGGCTACTTTTGTTTCACAGATCTCTAAAATGATGCACGATGGGGATTCTGTAATAGAGAGGATGATTTTGAAGTCGCTCTTTTGAAGTCCTTTGTGCCATTTAATGTAATACATACAATGCATACAAGTCAACCTAGTAGGCAATGAAGTGTTCATATTGTGTGTTCCTGCCTCTATTCTGTTGCATCATTCTTCTGTGTAAGGGACAGTAAGAGGCCATAGAGACAGGCAAGAATACACATTAGCATAGCCCTCCTTGGGGGCCTATTTAAAACAAATCAAAATTCAGTTTTTCTATTGTCTTCATGAGAAATGTCAAATCAAAGCAAGCTGACCTATTTCGAAGGTGCCCTGTACAATCTGTGCATATCTTTGCTCCATATTTTGATACATTCAAGTGGAGAGAAACAAGAAAAGCTACTTTCCTCAGAGTGGTAATACCTTAATATTAATATTATTAAGGATCCTTTGTATTTTACTGTTGTATCTTTGATCTGGTGCAGTGCTTCTAATATCAAACTAAATTGTACAATGTTACTAATAAAGTTCAAAATTTAAACAATATGTCCATACCTGTGAAGATATTTCTACTAAAAAAAATAAAATAAATATATGTGAAATTAAAAATATATAAAACAATAAAATCATAAAATAAAATGTCCATAAAGTTCACTGTAAGCACACTATTAATGGCAAAATAAGTGCAATAATCAGTGCAATGTCCATGAAAAACATACGCAAATTAGAATTTCAAAGTGCTCTTCAAAGTGGTAATCTTATCATGCAAGAAAAAAAAAACAGAGTGCTCTCTCTCTCTCCACCTGGTGCACCACAAACTACTCACCTTTGTTCACAGACCACCTAAATTACAGGAGATCTAAAAGCACTTGTTTGGTGTAAAGGCTAAATTCATTCACTTACTCCAGTCATAGCCATCAGCTTAATAGGTACATAGGGTTAAACTCAGCAGTTCACCTCAAATGCAGGAGGAACCCGGGAAAGGAAAAGTACCATACTGCTCACTACAGCTTATTAAGTATGTACCTATTAAGCTGATGGCTATGACAGAAATGAGTGGATGGATTTAACCCTTGCACCAACCAAGTGCTTTTAGACCTCCTGAAATTTACGAGGTCTGTGTACATACAGTAGGTTAGCATTTTGTGCTGCACCAGGCTGAATGGGAGAGCACTCTGGTTTTAATTGCATGAAATATTACCCCTAAGAGCACTTTGAAATTTAAATTTGTGCATTTTTTCGTGGACATTGCACTTGTTATTGCACTTGCTACACCATTAATAGTGTTCTTGCAGTGAGCTTTATGGACACATTATTTTATTTTTGTATGATATGTTGAAAAGTATTTTTTTTTACATATATGCCATTTCGAATATAAATATATTATTTTTTCAGGTGTTGATATGTTCACAGGTATGGATGCTTACATTATTTGAGCTTTGCACTATATTACTATAGTAACACAGTATGATTCAGTTTGATATTAAAAGCACTGCACTTATTTTTGACATTAACATTTCGCCATTTTTTACTCTACACTTTGCCATTGCAGTTTCCTTGTCCACAGAAAAATCTGTGGAAACTTAAGCAAGAGTTAGCAGTGTGATTAATGTGACATAAAGTAAAAAAAAAGTATAGTTTTGGAAACCTCAAATGCTTCAAAAACAAGTTCAATTTCCTCCTATTTAGGCCTCATGGCTCAATTATTCGATAATTCTGCCCTCCTCCCTGCCATACACAGTTCGACTTTTGAAGAATGGACTGAAGAATCACATTGGATTTACAGTATCAGGTCTATAAAAAATATTACCCTTCACCACTTCCTCACGGTGGCCAGGGCATTCATTCCTTGCCATTGACAAACTCAACAGACCCCCAAAATTGCAGCATAGGTAGTAGTCAGCCTCCATTATGCATCTTGAACAATTAATTGCAAGCATAATACCCTTGAGCAATATATCTTCACTTGCATTGTCTGAACAATATTTAGGCACTTTCAAGACACCCAGAACATAAGTTCTCAAAAACAATTTCTTATTTGGGACAAGGCCATAGTGGAGGTGGTGATGGATCATATTACCTCCAACCTCACCCATTTTCTTTCTTTATTACTTGCATATGTAGCACCCTCCTAGATAAGTGCTAGGATTTGTACAGTTAGAATAGCATAGCCCTGTTTCTTTGCTTAACAGAGAGACTGTAAATTTAGTTTGGCATCCTGCTTAACAGAGTGCTGCAGTCTATTAGTCAGGACTGCTCATGATGCTTTGGTGCTGTTTGAGTTTGCCTTGAGCTCCTCCTTCCTTCTGGAAGCAACTAGAACCTTCTAGAACCTAGGTGGGAACTAGGCAAATACACAGCATGAATATTGATGCAGCTCTGGCCAATTACAAGGGAGGTGGTTCTATTTCATGCTGAGAGCTGTTATTTATTTTCTATGAGCATGGGGGCTCAGCGTCTTTCTAGGAGTGGATTGCATCATGCCAGGGTAGAGGCAAGCTCGCCTCCCCTGGCATCTTCTGCCATGCGGCCTCAGGTTGGTGACCTGAGGGCCTGAAGTCAGAGTGAGTGACCCTGATTTTACAGAGAGCTGGCAGATGGGGCTGTCTATTGAAGATCTGGCCTGGTATCACTGGTATAGAGTGTTGCTTGGAAGTTGGAAGGAGGCAATCAGCTGTCCCTTGACATGTTGTCTGTATTGACATTTTGTGAATACAGACAGCATAAAGGACCTATAGACTTTTAACCCCTCATGGTGCTATAGATTCAGCTAAGGGTCCAGACAAGGGAACACTGGCATGTGTTCTGAAGAGCTCTGTCCATTTACTCTTTACTACAAAGGACTTTGCTCTAACCTGAAGTTACTGTTACCGCAATGGAGAAGTCTTTATTCACCTAAAGCTCAGCCAGAAGTCAGATAGTGTCCTTGTTGTAATAAGTTCTTTTCTTGGAGCATCCTACTAAATTCCCCATCCCTATCCAAGTTCTCCAATAAAACTACAAAAACAAACATCCCCTAGACTGGTCATTGAAGACAAGGAGTGAATGTGTTCCTGGCTATCGGAAATACTGTGTGCTTGGCTGCGGGTGAAGATGTGGGGAAAGGCCTGGACAAACTACTAGCGGCTCCTATGGGGCTAGCGCTGCACATACTAAAGCTATACCCTGATCAACAGTGCTGTGAAAAAAGTGTTTGCCTCCTTCCTGATTTTTTTTTGCATATTTTTCACACCTAAATGCTCTAGATCATCAAACAATTTTACTATCACACAAAGATAACCCGAGTAAATACAAAATACAGTTTTTAAATGATGATTTCATTTATTAAGGGAAAAAAGCTGTCTAAACCTGCCTGGCCCTATGTGAAAAAATAATTGCCCCCTAAACTTAATAACTGGTTGGGCCACCCGTGCGGTAGCAACTGCAATCAAGCATTTGCGATAACTGGCAATGAGTCTTTCACACTGCTGTGAAGGAATTTTGGCCCATTCTTCTGTGCAGAATTGCTTTAATTCAGCCACATTGGACGGTTTTGAGTATACCCCATATCCCTCATTATCATACCAAGTATTCCCCTTCTTTGTCCTAGCTTAACCTCAAATAATAACACTTTGGGGTACTTTAACATGACCCCCCCAACTAATTCTTACTTGGGTTTTTGCCCCAAAATTCTTATTTTGGATGCTACTTTACCAATTCATATATCACTGTTTCAATGCACTAAATTCTTAAAGAAAATGTAGAGAATGAACTTTGTTGTAATTATCTCCAGTGTTTGCTATTTGTGTAATTATACAACTTTAATCTTTTGGTTATTTGTTTAAGATAAACCCAATATAAACAGATCATACCAATTAATTGTAGTTCTATGTTTAATATAATCATAAACTGTATTTGTAAATGCACCCCTGCAGAATCTAAGCATAAAAAGGCTTTGACTTGCAATATGGAAACTTTCAATAGCATAATAATTTTTATATCAAATTAATATACAAACTTGCTACTTATGGCAGAAAAGTTGTAAATCCGACTGTGCAGAAGCTTATGCCTAGATTTGGCAGTCTGCCTTTTTGGACCACTGACAGCGGGTCTCTGGAGGAAGTAGTTGGCTTTTTATATTTCAGACACATTTCGACTTCTGCTTTAAAACACTTGTGTGTGTGTACATATGTTGTTTTGTTCTTTTGCATTGTTCCTTGCCTTTGAGAATTTGCTGTTAAATATTTAAAAAAAAAACACACGGGCAGTACATTTGCTACCATCTAGTTTGAGTGAGTTGCTTACCAGAGTTGATTGAAGCCACACGGAAAATGTCAGACAAACGGGAGGTCACTGGTTCATATGGTGATGACTCATAAAACTCATCCCCTGAGAAGATATTTAACAATGTTACAGACTTATACAACATTTATAACTGCCAAAGAATGTTAGTTCTTTGTATAGCGTGCTCTCTACTCCCCATTCAACAAGGCTACATTTTAAACCCTAACAGTAGCTTAGGCTGTTAACCTGGGAGAGATTTAACTGGCTAGAGTACCCAAAGGTAATTTTCTAGTTATAAGTTGATCCTGGGGGGTGGTCATCTCATGGCTTCTTATATGTCTAGGACAGTGGTTCTTAACCTTTTTGGAGGTACTGAACCCCACCAGTTTCATATGCGCATTCACCGAACCCTTCTTAATTGGAAAAATAAAATATATAATTTTTAAAATTCAAAACATAGGTATATATTTATACATAGGTGCACAAAATGAACAAAACCATTAAGAACAAAGAACAAAACCATTAAAACATGATTTTCACACAAAAACACAATAATGAATATTTACCGCAAATCAGTGTGACTTCTGCTGTTGTCTTTCAGAGGCCAGTTCAGAAATGCGCGGCATTACCTTGGCAAGTGCCACTCTCATGTCATTTTCGCAACAAAGTCTGTTCCTTTTCTTCGTCTTTATGTCCAGCATCCTCGAAAAGGATTGCTCACAAAGATATGTTGTAACAAACGGTATGAAAATTCATCCCCCATAGTAATTCATCCCCCATATAGTAATTCATCCCCCATATAGTAATTCATCCCCCATATAGTAATTCATCCCCCATAGTAATTCATCCCCCAATAGTAATGCATCCCCCATAGTAATTCATCCCTCATAGTAATTCATCCCCCATATAGTAATTCATCCCCCATATAGTAATTCATCCCCCCATATAGTAATTCATCCCCCATATAGTAATTCATCCCCCCTATAGTAATTCCTTCCCCTAATAGTAATTCATCCCCCATATAGTAATTCATCCCCCATAGTAATTCATCCCCCATATAGTAATTCATCCCCCATAGTAATACATCCCCCATATAGTAATTCATCCCCCATATAGTAATACATCCCCCATATAGTAATTCATCCCCCATATAATAATTCATCCCCCATATAGTAATTCATCCCCCATAGTAATACATCCCCCATATAGTAATTCATCCCCCATATAGTAATACATCCCCCATATAGTAATACATCCCCCATATAGTAATTCATCCCCCATATAATAATTCATCCCCCATATAGTAATTCATCCCCCATATAGTAATTCATCCCCCCTATAGTAATTCATTCCCCATATTAATTCATCCCCCATATTAAGTCCCCAAGTCCCCCCTGTGTCAATTCACTTACCTTTGCTCCGCGCGTTCCTCTCGCTGTATTCCCGCGCCGTTCCGGTCTTCAGGGCGGACTGTGAGAGGAGCCTAGCTCCTCTCACGTTCGTCACGCTGCCCCGCCTACACACATCCTAACAGCCAATCACTGGCTATCAGGATGTGAGTGGCAGCGAGACTGGCCAATCATTGCATTTGAGTCCCTGCCGCCCGAGAGGAGGGAGGGGAGCGGGCGCCCGGCACACAAGAGCCGCGGCTTGCCGACCACTGGGCATGTCATCACAAATCATATGAGTCGGGCATGGGTCACCTCCGCCGAACCCCCGAGACTGACTCACCGAACCCCTGGGGTTCGATCGAACCCAGGTTAAGAACCACTGGTCTAGGATATGTCAACAGAGAGATCTTTCTGTCATAATTCACATCTCTGTTCCTGTCCACTTGGGATTTTGGAGTACTGCTTGTCCACCTATACATTTTCCAGCAGCAGCTGATACGTTCACCATTATATGAAATAAATGCCAATTCCATCAGGGAAACCAAGTTCCCTTTTAAATGGCCATAGCAAGTGTGCAGATTCAGAAACTCAGCCTCTCTAATAAAGTTCCTAAAAGAAATTAGAAGCTATCAGTTGGATAACTCACCAGCTTCTACCAAAGACTAGAATATCTCTTTTGAGTAGACTGACCCTTTAAGTGTAACTAGCAATTGTATTGTGTGAAGCTGTTAGAAATAGTGGTGTACTAAGAACCTCTGGTCTAGGGGCAAACAAAGCCAATGAGCCCTTTTATTTATTGTAGGGATATATTTCTGTAGTCTAAAGAAAGGGTATCATGCAGAGATGGACTGACCATTTGGAAACTCAGGCACTGCCCGAGGGCCCGGGGTCAGTAGGGGACTCCATGAGATGCCCCTGGTACCTTTTTCATAGGCTTTTTTGAGTTTGGGCAAGGACACAGGCCCATGATCCCCTATTGTCTGGGGGCTCCATCAGTTGTCAGTCCATCCCTGGTATCATGGTGCCTCAGTGATTGGTGGGAATAGTGTAAGGTGGGTATTCATTTTGATATAACTTTTATCATCAGATGCCTTTGCGGCTCTCAGTTTTAGGTCACATGATATCTCAGAGCCACAAGGGAAGGTAGTGCTAGTAAGCACTCTTAATTTGGTTGTAAACCTCAGAAATGAAAAATGAACTAAGCATATCCCTCTATACTGTGTACTTGACTCAATTAGAAGCACTAAGCGTCATTTCTCTCTGCTGCTTTCATTCCTCTGGTATCTGCATAAGTCACTTCTGACAAGTTTTCCTGACACCAAGAGAAAAATGGTGATAGGGGAGGGACCTCCAGCAGATTGGCAACCTCAGCTCTCTCCCTGTAAACTGTTTGGAGGGAGAGGATGTCTTTTCCCTCTAATCAGGCTTTAGAACTTTTCTCACTGAGCTTTGCAGAGTATAATCTCAGCTCTCCACACTCTTTTTTCTGAACTCAGGCAAGATTTAAAATTCTGGACTTTGAATTGATGTAGAGAAGAGAAGACTGCAGATAAACAAGTACACAATCTGTAGGATTTGTTTAATCTCTGTATCATCTGAGGCCAGTCACTTCACTGGGTATATGTAAGGGTTTACAACAACTTTAAGCCAACCACTGTGATCACAGGACTGTTCAAGTAACATATATCATTAACTCAATTAGAACAGGAAGGGAGGAAGCAAAAGGGGGAAAAGGACAGCTAAAGCAGACTTTTAAGGTTCCCAAAGATTACACATAGATAAACTTACAATTATTTTTATAAGATCATAAAAAATATTTCACTAATCAAGTTAGAAAATTTCTACAGCCATATATAGACTCCATCCTAATTATGTCCCAGTCCCATATACAGTATTATATACATACAATATACCTCTATTTTCTTTATTGACATACAGGTATATGTCTTGCATGTGCTGGACACTAAGATCCTAATAACCCTACGTGTTTTTTTAGAAATATTCCACTTTCTCAGGGGAGTAGGAGAAAGCTAGCATGTCTGAAAACTCTGCAATGCATGGCAGCCAGTGAAGTCCTCAGGTTGTGCACAGGGGCCTCTTTGGCAATACCCAAAGCCAAAGGATACTGGCATCTCAAAGTTAGAAACCAAGCAAGGATGCAATTTGCTATTAAGAAAGAATGAATTCCCATACTCCCATAATGGTCCTAATAGATTATAAGGAGGGCCATCTAGGTTCCATGAGTGTTCTTGAGGTCAAATGCAGCTTGAGTTAGTACTTGGAGTCCAGGTAGAATATTCTAGGTCCTATGTGTATTAACTGTGGCAGCAGGGGTGTATTTACCACAAGGCAAACAAGGCATTTGCCTAGGGTGTCATTTTTCAGGGGGGGCAGCACCGCTCCCCAGAAGAAGGGAAAGAAGAAGGAACACACACAGCATGGGGACCAGGTGGGATCAGAGAGAGGCTGCGGGCTGCTTGACAGTATATGCAGTGCCTGACTCTCATTCCAGGGGATGTCTGGAGCTGTGGAGGTGAGTTTATTTCTCTCTCTTGTTGTGGGATTGTTGGGGGGTGGGGTGGCCAGTGTATGGAGGGTGGTGGTAGTGGAAGGCTCTCTCGGGTGGGGGGGTGGTGTTGGTTGGTGTCAGGCAATTTATGTGTTGCCTAGGGCAGCACAAAACCTAAAAACACCGCTGTGTGGCAGCACTCTCCTCTCTGTACTCTTCTGTCTACACTGGTGTTCAAAGGATCCCGGTGTCCAGCACATCCAAAAGACAGTAAAAACAGAAAAAGAAGTGTATTGTAAATAATGCATATACCAGTAATCAATAAATATAGAAGCAGGATGTGCTTAGGAAAAAGGCTCTAGATATGGCCGTAATTTTGATCATTTTTATAATGAGATATTTTTTCTTATATTATAAATAAAAACGTTTATGCTTTTATCTAACATATGTGTGAACCTCAGTTATCTTAAAAGTCCACTTTGGCTGTCCTTTTTGCCTTCCCCTTTCTTTTTCTAACTGAGATAATGACAGTTTTGCAGAATATGGACTCATGGTCACTAGCCCGACATGTCCTATTAGTACTGGCCCAGGGGCCAAATGTCTCTTGTTCCTCAGCCCGGCATTCCCCGGAAGTCTGGAGAGAAAAAAACTGGAGGAATAATTGATGTGACGAGCTCTACCTTGTCTTGGGATTTTTTTTCCCTCAACTGTATTCTTTCCACCTGTATTACTACACACTGCCAGCTCTAATTGTATAGAGTATACTATTTTGTATGTTTGTTATATAATCTGCTGTACAGTTTTGTCAGTAAAGACAGGATTTTAATGCCTAGTGCTGTACATAGCTAGGGATTTCTATAATGTGTGCTGTTTGGAGCTCCATTCATTGAAACTGCTATTTATATTTACACCTAGCTAAGGGTTTTAATGTGCATTAAACAGGTACATATGTTGTTTTTTATGATGCTAACTCACATCTGTGAGCTCATATCCATTTTGGTAGGTTGATGCACATTATGGCTAGCATCACCTTATTTTTTTTTTTTTAAATTGCTTTGTGCAGGTGCATTGACAAGTGTTGGTGTGTGCTGCCATTCCCATCAAAAACATTTTTGGAGAATGCACCATACAGATGTGAACTTGCACCGTTTCAAACAATAACAAACCTACGCATACATATTAACAGTTGTTTGAAATACAGTTTAATGGTGTTATGTACAAGGGTGCATAGTGCACTGTGTTTAGTGTGTTTAGGGTGCATGCTGTAGAGTGCTGACTGTAATGGGGGCAATATGTAGCATTATCACTGTATTTGGGGTGCACTGGGGAAGTTTGTTGATTGTGGTGAATGTATTTGGGGAATATGCTGAGCCTATTGGATATATGGTGTACTGTTTATATACACTGCTCAAAAAAATTAAAGGTACACTTTGAAAACACACCAGATCTCACTGGGAAAAATATAATGCTGGATATCTATACTGATATGGACTGGGTAATGTGTTAGGAATGTAAGGATGTCCCATCGTTTGATGGAAATGAAAATGATCAACCTACAGAGGACTGAATTCAAAGACACCCCAAAAATCAAAGTGAAAAAATGATGCAGCAGCTAGTCCATTTTGCTGAAATTTCATTGCAACAACTCAAAATGGTGCTCAGTAGTTTGTATAGCCCCCACGTTCTTGTATGCATGCCTGACAATGTCGGGGCATGCTCCTAATGAGACAACAGATGGTGTCCTTGTGTATTCCCTCCCATATCTGGAGCAGGGCATCACTGAGCTCCTGGACAGTCTGAGGTGCAACCTGGCGGCGTCGATGGATGGAAAAATGATATCCCAGAGGTGTTCTATTAGATTTAGGTCAGGCGAGCGTAGGGGCCATTCAATGGTATAAATTCCTTTTATCCTCCAGGAACTGCCTGCATACTCTTGCCACATGAGGCTAGGCATTGGCATGCACCAGGAGGAACCCAGGACCCACTACCCCAGCATAGGTTCTGACAATGGGTCCAATAATTTCATCCTGATACCTAATGGCAGTCAGGGTGCCATTGTAGGGGTCTGTGCGTCCCTCCATGGATATGCCTCCCCAGACCATCACTGACCTACCACCAAAACAGTCATGCTGAACGATGTTACAGGCAGCATAATATACTCCACGGCTTCTCCTTCCACGTCTGTCACATGTGCTCAGGGTGAACCTGCACTCATCTGTGAAAAGCACAGGGTGCCAGTGGCAGACCTGCCAATTCTGGTGTTCAAATGCCAATCGAGCTCTATGATGCTGGGTAGTGAGCAGAGGGCCACTAGAGGCCCTCAGGCTACCCTAATGAGGTCTGTTTCGGATTGTTTGGTCAGAGACATTCACACCAGTGGCCTGCTGGAGGTAATTTTGTAGGGCTCTGGCAGTGCTCATCCTGTTCCTCCTTGCACAAAGGAGCAAATACCGGTCCTGCTGATGGGTTAAGGACCTTCTGTGGCCCTGTCCAGCTCTCCTAGAGTAACTGCCTCTCTCCTGGAATCGCCTTCATGCTATTGAGACTGTACTGGGAGACACAGCAAACCTTCTGGTAATTACACGTATTGATGTGCCATCCTGGAGGAGTTGGGCTGCCTGTGCAACCTCCGAAGGGTCTAGGTATTGTCTCATGCTACCAGTAGTGACACTGACCCTAGCCAAATGCAAAACTAGTGCAAAACAGTAAAAAAAAAGACGAGCAGAGAAAAAAAACCATGTAAAACCATTTTTGTTTTGTTGTTGCCCATCTAGTGCACCTGTTCTTAATTGTATTAACACCAAAGCAGATGAAACTGATTAACAACCCCCTTTGATTCTTAACCAACCAGATCAATATCCCAGGAGTTTAATTGACTTGATGCTATAGTCTGATTAAAAAGTGTTCCTTTAATCTTTTTGAGCAGTGTATTTGGGGTGTATGGGTGGGTAGGATGCTGTCTGCCTCTGGCCCTGCAAGTCTGTATGACCTCATTCCACAGCTGGCCTAATAGCCCCCTTTTCCTTAGCTGGCTTGAGAACCCAACCACATGCTAAGGCAAGTAATATTGTACACAGTGGGGTGTTATGTTTCTGAATATGGAGGCATGTCTGTTCTGATTGCGAATACCATCATTCTGTAATCCAACACCATTTCTTTTTTTTCAGAGTATTCTCTCAGGTTGACATATCTGTAGTTTATTGCTGATAGTTGAAGGTGTTATGCTGCTACTATAAAGATGCAGATAGGTTTATTACTAGTTAATTGCACCCTTTAACCAAACCAAACCTTTTGGCATGCCTTACTTTGACCATCCACACTTTAGACCTCACATTTTATATTTGTTTAAGGCCACTAACTTAGTTGAGACACCCATGCCAATTGGTACACAATTTCAGCATACGGGGACCCACTTTAATTTTTTTCCCAGGGCCTCATTTCTGGTAAGACACATTCTAATCTAGGAGCCTGAACATTACAGGGGTTAAATGTCTTTATCTACTCACCCTCAGTCAAGCCCGCATGTATGCCCCAGTACGTTTGTAGACACAGAAGTTCTTTCTTCATTCCTCTCCGACAGCGGCACATGTACAGGGCACTCTCCTGTAGAACCTCCAGAGCAGTTTTACACTCCAGACCGGAGAGCAGGACATCCCTGTCCCTGCCTGTTAGACACTGTCGCAGAGTCCTAAATCTGGAACTGCAAGTTGCGTCAGCGATGCACTGCTCATTAGCCTGGATGCAGTCTGTGTGATGGGGCCAGGAGTCAGATGGAGACCCAGACAGAGGAATGCTGGAGTGAGCGGTATAGAGACCTGTGAATATTTAGGATAACACTACATCAGACAGAAGTTTACAAGACAAATAGAAAAAGAAGAAATTGCTGTTCATTACAATTATTTCGTATTTAGATGTCTCTAGAGCTGAATTTAACCATCCTGGTAATTGTCATCTAAGGACCAATCTTTTTCTGGCACGTTTTGTTCACATGTTTTTTGGGTTTTTCGCTAGAAAATTACTTAAAATCCCAAAACATTATATATATATATATATATATATATATATATATAGTTAAAGAGGCCCTAAAGAATAAATTGTTGGGTTTTGCAATGTTTTATGTCACAGTATTTGCACAGCGTTTTCTTCAAATACATTATTTTGGAAAAATAGAAACTTTTTGAATTTTAGTGCAAAAACACAATACATAACCCAATTTGTGTCACATATAAAAGATGTTGTTACATCAAGTAAATAGATACCAAACATTTCACGCTTTAAAATTGCACATGCCCGTTCAAGGGCGACAAACAATGTAAATTTTACTATGCATAGGCGATGCTTTAAAAGCCTTTACAGGTTACCACTTTAGATTTACAGAGGAGGTCTGGTGCTAGAATTACTTCCCATGATGTGATGTTTGCGGTGATACCGCACATGTATGGGACGATCGCTGTTTGCGCACGTGCATGACCGACGCATGCATTCACCTTTGTGCAGGGGGAGGGGACATTTTTTTATTTTTAATTATTCATCTATTATTTTTTTATTTTATTTTTACACAGTCAATGTAAATTTTTTTGATCACTTTTATTGCTGTCATAAGGAATGTAAATATCCTTGTGACAGCAACAGCCACATGGCAGGTACTCTTTATGGAGAGATCTTGGGTCTATAAGACCTCAAATACCTCCTCTACACTTCAAGCATTCAAAATACCAAGATGTGTGTTTTCGAAAGCTTTTGATTTTGTAAAAATGGCGCCGTTGACGTCTGGGTAAACCAGAAGTGATGACAGGTCATCGCTTCTGGGTTACTATAGAGGAGAGTTGATCAAAGCTTTTGTTGCTTGGTTCTCCTGGTGGGTGCAGCTGCAGGCATCACACCGGTACAACCATTTGTGTGACGTACCAGGTATGTGACTGGACAGTGTAGCTATAATAAATAAAATAAAAACAACAACTTGTAAATACAATTGATTCACAGGCCAAAATACATTGCGATGCTTCAAATGCTAGACCTTTTTCCTGGGTATATCTGACCTGCTGATTCCAAAATTGGCACCAATTTTTTCCCTATCAGCTCTAGCTTTTGAGATAAAGCACATAATGAAATACCTTCCTTAGAACAAAGCCCTCCAGTGGCACGCTAACACCACTGTCAGGACTCCTATCTTCCCCTTCCTTCCGGGTTCGCTGGCTGAAGTCTTTTGAATGGCCAAGCCACTATGATGTCACTCCCGGGTATGCGCACAGGAGTCACGGATTTTGGCACAGTGCTCTGAAGGTCCTTTCAGAGCGCATGTGTCAGTGATGTCACCAGCTGCATCCAGCGTGAATATCTCCTAAACAACGCAAGATTTTGGAGATGTTTACTGTACCTACAGATAAGCCTTACCTGTAGGAAGTGGTATATTTTGGCTTTATGCTGCCCTAAGCAAGACTAAAATTGGGCGCTCCGCCATCTAAATTTGTCCTACCCCCTTCCCGTTTAAGATCCACCTTTTCAGGACAGGACAGGAGGGGGCAGCGTGACAAGGGAGCAGCATGACAGGAGGGGGGCAGTGGGGCAGGAGGGGGCAATGTGACGGGGGGCAGCATCACAATAGGGGCAGCGAGACAGGACAGGGAGCAACAGGACAGGAGAGGAACAGCATGACAGAAGGGGGCAGCGGGGCAAGTGGGGGGCAGTGGGAGAGGTGAGGTGCAGTGGACGAGGAGGGGTGCAGTGGGACAGGAGGGGGGCAATGGGTCTTGAGGGGGGGCAGCGGTATAGATGGGGGCAGCAGAACAGATAGGGGGCAATGGGAAAAGACAAGGGCAGCAAGATGGTGGAGCAAAGGGACAGGTGGGGGACAGAGCGACGGGTGGGGGGCAGTAGGACAGGTTGGGGGCAGTGTGACGGGGTCAGCCTGACTGGAGTGGGGAAGCACCAGTACTCCAAGATCTTACTTGTCAAGCCATGGTTCCTCTAGATGGTGCCAGGAGAGGTAGCTGAGCTGAGCCTGCGTCCCATTGCCATCAGGATCTCTGGTGGTAGCTGCAACAAAGAGCTCCCTGCGTGCATCGGGGATCCATCCACCACTCCGCCTCCCTCCCCGGCCACTTCTTGTGTGTACCCTTGGCTGTCCCCCCCCCCCATGCTGCTCACACCCACAGTGTCCCTCCTGCCTGGAGTAACACTCCCCCCCCTGTAAAATACTGTCCAAGCCAAACAGCTTAGCAGATATGCCCCTGCCTGTATGTACAACTTCAAAAGTAGAGTTTACTACCGCTTTAATGCAACTAAAGATCTATCTACATTTTTAATAGCAAATAATTACATTTTCTAGTTGATAAGAAAAAAATACATTAGACACATTGGATGTCATACCTGTGCATGGCTACTACCTACACTTACACATAAATGCACTCAATGTCATTGATACAAGTAAAATATGAACACCTCTATTTAAACACAATGGATAGTTCAGGAACTTTTACAGGTGTAATGAATACAAAGTGGTATTAAACATCACTGACAATGCTTATGGTTTCATTGTCTTGCTCTACCTACATTTTAAAAATAGAATGCTGTGCCTTAAAGCAGAACGCCAGCATTTAGGAGTGATGGGCAGTCACATGCGAATAGCAGCGGGACAAATCTGACAGCCACCACTGACAGCTGCAGCTGTTTTCACACAGTATGCGTCACAACATTTACAAATCTCCACCAAGAATCTACTTCCTCCTGCACTTGACCGTCTCTGGGCACACATGACTCCCATGTGAATGTAGCCCAAGGGATTAATAAACGGTCCATTCCAGCCTTTGGATCCAGTTGTATCCTTAATAAAGCACTGACAATTTGTGCAAAGGGTGTACCTGTTTTTTTAGGATTGCATTGACAAACGTTTAGAGATTCTTTCATTGTTTTCACTGACAGCATGTGGCAAAATACCTTGGCTGCAAGTCTGTCAAACCTTAGTCTAAACTTCTGTTTGAAGAGCATTTAGAGCACATCAATAGCCTTAATCTACTGCGTGGACAGGTTAGTTGATATTAGACATCGTATTTTCTGTATGAGTCTTTTATAAGTGGACATGCAGAGAACTCTTTGGCCCTTCGATAGGCAATGTCTCCTTGGAGCTGAATTAAACACCCTCATCAAGGTTGTCACTTGGGGTAAAAGTCATCATCTGCCCCAGCAGAGGAAGCCTACACCTTAGACATGGAAGACTCCCCCTGATTGCTGCAGTGGTCAGGTTATGTATGACTTCTTCCTCTGCATATGTGTCATATCCTGTGCCTTGAGGTATATACTGTATATCTGCAGAGGATTGACTCCAGAGAGAGAAAGTCCTATGGCAATAGTTCTGTGAGGACCAACTGCTGTGATGTGGTTTCTCTTTTTCACTGCAACCCCTTCAAAGGGCCCACTCTCCAGGGAATCCACGTTTTATTGACTTTTGTTTCTATGGACATTATCGATCTCAGGAATGTGTCACACTAAATTCTCTATGCACCTTCCTTGATGTAACAACTAAGGATAGTGAATTAAGTCAGCATCATAGCTATTCTACCTCAGCCCAAATTGCACAGCCAGTCGAATGACTACAGCCTTTTATGTATGTGGAGAATCTTGTTTAATGTAGTTTGCCAGTAAAAGGATCTTTATCTAAGGAAGTTGTGTGTTATTTACTGGGAGAAATATTTAAGTAAAAGAACAAGTATATCTTTGGTGTATCAAAGGAATATTAACTTTGGGAGTTAAACCTTCCGGGTTAAGCTACCTCGTGTTGCTGCGGAACATTTCTACCATTGTGGTTGAGTACATATTTTAACCTTCAAGGTAGAAACACAGTTACAAGTAATAGTGGGCCAGTCGGAGGAGTAATCAGGTGACTGTGGAGGCTATGGTGGCCCTGGTAGATGAGAAGACAGGTGGACTTCATGCCCCTAGCCTCATGGTTTGGTCTCCACACTGGATCTGACTTCGGCTCAGGGTTGGCCTATGGACCTGGCCTGGGGAGTCATGAGAACAAAGCCCTTGCATTAATAGAAGTGCAGTAGCTTCCTGTTGTGTGTGTATATAAGGTGAAGTAAATTCAATAAACAGAGTAATACTAATATTCAAGTATTGAGTGTCATAGGAGGACAACAGTGAATAGTGGGGAGTGAATCATGTTCTGCATTTCCATCCTGAGACGCTGGAGGATATTGAGACTAAGCAAGGAGATTGTAGAGTCTGCTAGTTCCTGGCATGGAGATTTAATGCCTGTAGGAACCGAACTGTGGAAAACAGCTGTAATGGCTAGTTTTAACTAACCTGCCCTCTGGGTGTACTCCCATCTTCTCACACACATCCCACAAGCACATCAGCTCTTCTTTGCTTTGCCCCCAACATCCCCACTGACAACAATACAGAGATCAGTGCTAAAAAAAAGCACTGAAACTACTAATGGCACTGGGCAGGAAGGGGTTAACATGAAGGGCGATCAAAGGGTTAACTGTGTGCTGGGAGTGTTTTTACTGGGGGGGTAGTGTGTTGGTGCTTCACTGTAATTACACTGTTTTGGATGCAGTGTGCCAGAGCCAACAGGGAGGAGGACTGTTAGTAAACAAAGCAGTCCTCCCCCTGTCGGAGATACTCGGTAATCACGGGCGCTGGTGGGTAATCACGGATGGGGACCCGGTGATTGACAGCAGCGGCAACGAATAGCAGCGTGGGTACCCAGAAATACAACATCACGTATGTATACTGCTATAGGGTGGTCGGGATGTGGTTAACACACACCTGCTAAGGGACATAGAAAGACCGCATTGCTGATTTCTCCTTTCTAACTC